GTCGCGGCGGCTCCGCCGGGCTTTACCCACGATTTTCAGCTCACCCGATGTCCCTCTTACTCTGATTTGACCACAGGGGTAATCAGAATCGAATTTTGAGTGGGTAAGGGGAATTTTTATCTTTTTTGGTGGTCGGTGGTGACTCCAGCGCATCGGCGGTTAGCGATCAGCGGTCGACGTCCTTCTCGGGCATTTGGTTCTTACTTCTCTGGCGGGGGCTGACAGCTAGGGTTTAGTTTCCTGTGTGATGCAAAGTATTTATAATCATCCCGCATTGATCTAGATCATCCATTACAATCAATCTCGTTCATTCGATCGTGCTTAAGGAGGAAAGAAATCTGAAATGTTCATTGCGATTGATCTCGATCGTTCGATCGCTCCTAAGGAAGAAGCCTGTCCGGACTATCCATGTGCACGGGATCGATCATGGACCGTTCGATCGCAGAGCACGCGGATCTCCATCGTGGCCTTCTGCGTGACACTGATGTCAGCGCGCCTTGCCACGCAATATACTCCGGTTCGTTGAGACTGCTGACTGGGCAGTCTTATGTGATCGAACTTTTTTATTTGCACATTGACTCCCTATTTTTAATTTTTCTTTTAAAAACACCCTCATAACCCAAATTTTCACCATTTTTTTTAAAATTATTTTTAATCTCGTTCCTAATTTATTTTTTCTCAAAATTCTACTTAAATAAAAATAAATAAATAAATAAATTATTTTAAATTAATAATTAAAAAATAAAAAATTTTATCTCGAGTTATTTTTCGGGACCGAATATTATAATTATTGTAGGTCGTTTTTGTTGTTGTGAATTTATTAAAGCGTAACTAATAGATTGAATCACTTCTCATAAGTTTAAGATTTTAGTAAAATCAATAGTTCAACTCTATTTAAAATATAGTTATATAGTAAAAAATAACAAAAACACAGAATCGTTGACAAGATCTTAGATCACGTGCTTCTTACTCATAGAAACTAGTAACAAAAATGCAGACCAAGAGTATTCATTAAAAAAAAAAAAAAATGTCAAAGTTTATGATACCAAGATGAAAATAGATTCGTATTATCATTACTTGTTTTTATACCGTAATACTAAGTGTTATATGCTTGTAGCATGTCCATTGTATGTATAGATCATTCCAAGAATTTGAATAAAGTTGCCCGAATTATGATATTTCTAATTAATGATTAATTTTCTTTTTCTTTTTCTTTTAAATGATAATATTAAGACTAAAGGCAATTAAAATCTTTTTTTATGGTATGTTGACCATTGGTGGAATATTATTATTTAAACAATTAAATAACAAAATTAAGCAAGGAAATTAGTCGTCTTAATGTGCTAAGTGTTTGTTTTATCTTTAAAAAAGAATAAAATAAAATTATTTCTATAGTGGTATTGCCTTTGCGTACAAGAATTGAATGTATGTTTGGTTCAACGAAAGGATTGAAAAATATGACGTAAATATAAGGTTATAAATTTTGGTAAGAATACAAGTCGATGCATGAACCGCCCCATATCTACTTGTGAATAATATATGCATATATATATATATATATATATGTATGTATGTATGTATGTATGTATGTATAGACGTGCTACACGTATTAGTTAAGAAAAGAAAATGCGGATGCATGTGGGATTATCAGGAGGAACTTGTTCGATTCCTTTGGGTATTGATGTTGCCAAACTTCAAATATGGTGTTCGCATGGTTGTAAATTCGGGTTCATGTCATATATTCTTTAAGAATATGTACTTGCTGTATCCATCATACCAAAAGATATAAAATTATATATTTAATATATTTATTTAAAACATCTAATTTTATATAAACACAATATATAATGTGAAAAATATTTTTTACATGAATTACAATCGGGCTTACATATTGTTTTTCAAATAAAGTATTTTGACTATTTGAATTCGATTCATTTAATTATAACGAGACATGATTTAATTTTATTTTAAATATTAAGTTTAATTTATTTAATAACATTCAATAATGATAAGATGAGAGAACAAAATAAGTATTCTACACAAATTAAATTGTCTGAAAATTACAAAACAAATTTTTATTTAATTTTTTATAAATAGATTAACTCCGTATAATATAATTAAATATGTAAAAACATTATTAGAATTTGGTCCGCGAAAATAATTAATTTATGGTAGGTATCCTATTTGTTTTTAAGATTTGACCGATGCGGCAGTCAAACGGGACAGAGGGTGACGTGGACTAAGGTTGACGTCTAATGATGAGGAACATCGTGAACAGTAACTGACGGACGCCGGCCTTTTCGCCATTTCTGTCTATCCTGTCTTGTCTTATTCCATTTTTAATTATAAATAAATGAAAAACATAATAATAATAATAATGAAAGTGGCATTACCATTTGCTGGCCATGGGCGGTTTGGTCTTAATCTCTTTTTTTATGCGTCTAATCTGGTTTTACTTTTAGTTTTTTTTTTTTTTAATTTTTTAATAATTATAAATATTTTATTTTATTCTTTTAATACATAAATTGTATATAATATATAATTATTTGTAATATGTGTATTTTAAGAACTAATGGAGAAAATATAAATAAAAATAAATTTTAAAAATAAGAATATAAATTTTTTAATTTAAATTTTCAGTCAATTAATCAATATTTAAATAAAAAATATTAATAATTGTTGTTTTAAATAATATGTGTAATATTTATAAATAAAATTAATTACTTATTGTTTTCATATATAATAGATAAAATCGTAAATATAAAGTTTATCCGTTATTAATATTCTAAATAATAAATAATTAAAAAATTTTATTAAATAAAAGTTAGATGATGCAAGTTTACATATCAAAATTTGAAAATTCAACTAATATATATATATATATATAGTTGAAGGTTGGAAGTGGTGGGTAAAATAATGGGAGGCGAGTCAATGGCATCACCGACCAGATTGAGAACAGGAATAATCGTGTGTAGTGATTACAGAGGAGATTACTTGGGCCCACAAAACTCAAAGTAATTTCTCCAAATTGAATCCACCCCATTTGATTTCCTGTTGACATTTGCAAAATCTAAAACACAAACATATATTTATTTTCTCAATATTCCCGCCCCCGCAAAATATATGTATATATATAAAAAAAAAAACATTAATTTCTATATATATATATATATATATTATCCTTTGGTATGGGCTTCGGGGTGTAGAGATTAAAACAAATACTGTATGGGTTACCACTACTCTACATGTATCTAATCAACAATTTAAACACATATATGACCAAAAATAAAATTTACCCAAATCAAAATGGGTAAATTTTTATACCACACACGCAAATAATGAGAACATATGTGGGGGGTGGGTGGGTTAATTAATTACATTAATATATGTGTAAGTAATCATCCAACTTCAACTAACAAAGGGAATTATGAAATTAGGTAGAGGGAGGGGGGGATGACATCACGTGTTGTCCTTGAATAAATCTCAAATGGTCACGTGCAAGCACGCAGACACAAAATTGGATTAAGAGAAAAACACGTGTAGTTGTCAACTTAGTGCCGCCAGAATAACGAAATTACTGTTTAGCCCACCAAACCAAATCATAATTGGCATTAACATCACGTCCTAACCCTCTTGTAATTAAATTCCCTTTTATGCTTTTAAAATGTTTTTTTCACGACAACAAATGCATGCTCATCATTGAAGCCTCCTTTGTAATGAGTGAACCCTAACCCTTCATTTTTTTTTTTTTTTTTTTTTTACTTTTTTGACCGAGGTAAATATTGTATATAAGAATAACTCCTTTCTAATATATATTTTTTAATTCTTGTTATATATATATATATATAGTGGAGATGGAGGATAAGACTTGCAAATGTGAATTGATTTTAGGGTTATACTGGGAATAGACAAATGTATTTTCTAAAATTTATTTGAAAATCTGTTCTTACTTTAGTTATGAGAGAATAAAAATGTTTTTAAAAAATTATATAAATAAAAATAGATTTATCTCAAACATAGTCTACGACAAGAAAAATTATTTACATGGACTCTTCCTTTCCAACTCTCTTTCTGAGGCAGCATCTAATCTGTAATTTTATTTCTTATAAAGTTTTGATTCCTTCCTCCTACACGGGTGGTTGCCCACAAACATATATTCACACATCCTGGTCCACTCAAAGAGTGTTTGCCCATGTGAATCTTTTAAAGCATGTTTGACTGGTCTTTTATTCTTTCCTCTCTCTCTTTTTGGATTTGCAGAAAAAGTAAATTAGACTAACGGTAATGATGTTGATAAAAGAAAGAAACAGGGGTTAAGAAACATAAGCATGACAAACAGAAACAAACACACTGTTAAAAGAAAGAACCCTAAAAACTAGCAAACAACCATACAAATCCTAAACTCACAAGTTAACACAACACAACGTGGTCTGAAGCAAGAAAACACTCCATAACAACATAGGTCCGGACTGCTCTTGTTTTCTTGTTCCTTTCTTATTTATTTGTCTATCTCTTTCTTCTTAGATTAATCATTTTTTGTAATTTCTTCCATGCATGAGAAACAAGTTTCATAAACATTCCACACGAATTCGAACCTACTTGATGAAAAATATATATATATATATATAAAGTATATATTCCTACTAAATGAGCTTAACTGTTGCTGCGTGGTGTCAATTTTTCTTTCTCAATGTATCTGTTCATTTTCTTTACTTTGGGGAAGGGGTGGTAGCTATGAATACCAACTCTTCCCACCTATATTCCTCACGCACTTGTTAATCAACAATAAACAATTATCACTTTATCCTGCCAGTTTGTATCTATATATATGTGTGTGTGTGTGTGTGTGTGTGTCTGTATACATCTATACTTTCAACTATAAGCACAAGATTTCCTTGGTGCATGAAAAAGACGTCATAGAATCATCATAGTTTGATTTCGAACCTTGGATTGAAAAGAAAAGTGAACGGAGAAAAAAGAAAAGAAAACCAATCATAACCTTGGAGAAACAACACTAGGCTTTGCCAATTATTTTTTTCACCCGCAGTTAAGGAACTAATAGCGACAGGCACCATAATTTGTCATCCTGGAGCCCAAAAATTGTGGTGAAGAGACACGCAAATGAAACGTCGATGCTATCGTGAAGTGTGGGCTAACTTCAAAGAAAGGCAGGAGAAGCCAATCAGCAGACAAACTAAGCTTTGATGTCTGTATCGTGGGACCTTAACTTAGACATCGGACCTAAATGCTTTCTTCAGCGACAAAGAAATAGGAATGAACGAACTTCGGTTTCTCTTTTGCAGCCTTTCTCAGGGTGACTCAGCCCAAATCTGTGTTGTTCCATGTATTGAAAGAGACCACTGTCTGCAATAGGGACCCTCCTCAAGATGGGTTTGTGGTCATTAATACCCCAACTATAATATATAGATTTTTATACATATCAAGTCATCAGCTAAGACAGTGGGTAACAATTTAAATGTCCTGTGGGGGCAAGGTAGTCTTTTTCTGTACCTACCGCCAAGAAAAAAACGACACACAAACTGAGGAAGGGATTAACACAAGGAAAGGTTAGGGAACAAAGTAGCCTACAATTGTAGGGCATATCTCTGTACCAGTGTTGGAATTGAACTAGAGGCAAGATTATCTCCGGAAGTTGTTGGCTACTTGAAAAAAGGATCTCTCTGCCCTGCATGTTTCTACCAATCAGCAGTGAAAAAGGCAATAGAAGACCTATTTGCATCGCAATTTCACTCCACTGAACTGCAAACAAAAGGTATATGGGTCATAATGGGGTCAGTTGATCACGGATAATGAAATTAATGTAAAATATAGGAGCATCCCATGAAGCAGAAAAACAACCAAATCGGATCCGCCATCCGTACAATATATTACCTAGATCTGACGTATCTGATTTGTGAAAAAGAAACCTTTATTATTATTATTATTTTGTTTTGGGGGGGGGGGGGAGTTTAAGATAATATAACCAGAAATATTCAATTCTTTCAACAGCTGTACAAATATTACCATTGAATTCATAATTTATGTAACATGAATCGGTTGACAAAAAGAAAGACTGCTTTTAATCAAGATCATAGTAGCAGTCCAAACAGAAAGCAACAAAAATAAAATTATTTCCTTCCTGGGAGTAAGAAAAAACGTAAAGATAATACAGGGATAATCAAACATTATTCGGTATTGTACATGTTGCTTCCAGTGGATGTGCCAAGGAATATCCTTCATTCCAGTTTTCTTCTGACCAGGCCTTTTAAGAAATCAAAGCTGTAGGGACATGAGAAACAGTACAGCAATTACTATATTTATCACATAATCATGTCCATGCACATGGAAGGAATAAATGCTAAAAGGGCTTATGTAGAGCCATTTCTTTTCTATTGTTGTTAAGTTTTCAGTAAAATGTGTCATTAGGAGATTTGTTAGAAGCTCCTTTCTCTTCCTTGGTAGTAATGTGTCTATGAATTATACTAATATATCTGTACACAACATCTATTCCTTTATGTGAATTTATGGGACTCATCTAACATACACTAAATGCCAGAACAATAATTCAAGCAAAACAAGGGGGAAAAGAAATCCAAAAATCGACTTGTCCTAAAGATCATATTCTACCCATCTGCTGTCTCATCTTCCATCTGATATCCCAATCATGTGGCTGACTTGGTGCTTCAGGATAAAGAACACCAAAGACAAGTCTAGTAACTGACGTGGAACCATGGGATTCAAGTTGATATGTAGCAAGAATGCACAAATAATGTGAATCTTCATTGACATTGCTTTTTTGGCATTATTCAACAGTTACAATATTTTTGCTTTACAAAATTCATTATTCATCAACTGCAAATGATTCTGGAGAAGAAGTTTAAAAAAAAAAAGGTTGCAAATGATTCTCATGTTTGAAATCCTGGAAATGATTCTCGTCTCATATAAATAAATATGTATATATATATATAACAAACATAATATAATGTAGCAATTAATGAACCTTCCATCACAAGTCAATAATAACATTCACTGAATTACTGTAAGCCTGAATTTTGAATCTTTATGCTATAGTTATAATTTACATTTGGTAAAAGTTAAAAGAAACATATTATTAACCCTCAAGTCAATAATATAATGCAGCAATTAATGAACCTTCCATCACAAGTCAATAATAACATTCACTGAATTACTGTAAGCCTGAATTTTGAATCTTTATGCTATAGTTATAATTTACATTTGGTAAAAGTTAAAAGAAACATATTATTAACCCTCAAGCCTTTGGATTAATGGCTAGTATCTTTCCTTCATTAGGAATGTTCCTAAGTTCATGCAGCTGCTCACAAGTTTAAGATAACCAAAGAAGAACATAACCTATTAACAAAGGTTAAATAACAGAGAAAACAAATGACATGCCTATTAAAGGGCCCTGGGAGGTGAAGAGAGCAATTTGATTGAACCTGATGAGAGGCCCATATCTGAGAGCATAACAAATTGCAGATTTAGAATTTCAGGAGCATAGGCGGTTCTTTTACTGATGCTCAGGATGAGGAAACAAAGTGTGCTCATGGATTATGCTAGCCTTTTTGTAAAAATCATTAACCTATAAACTTTCTGTGTGGATTGAAGAAGAAACCATATCTCAGATAACAAAATATAAGTATCCGTGTCAGGAACCTGTTTGTCTAACAGCAGCGAGAAGCAGGTTTTGATTTAGTTTTCGAGAAGTTTTAGGGCTGAAGGAGGCAGATTAGGGGGATTAGCAGTAAAGGTAGGAGAAGGAAGTGGGAGGCAAAAGAGAAAAAAGAGAAAAAGTTAAGAGAGGATAGAGTTTAAAGTAGATTTTCATTTAATATCTGCATGATCATCAGCTATTACAATAACGGGTCCACATAGTACCAGCCTTCTACATTGGAAAGAAAACAAAAAGCGACCAATTCAGTACCAGGTACAAATGACAGCTGGTGTACCAGCGTCCTCTAGAACTGGAAATCCTTGGCAAATTCCCCTCATAACAGCTAATTATTTAATAAAAAACAGAATAACAAAATGACATGTTAGCCTTCAACAACGCTTTCCAGGTTCCTAACACATCACTTTCTTCATAAATCTAGATCTGTAGGTTTTTCAACTCTTCTTATATATTATGCCTTGGATTCTAAATATGCACACTTTCTCTATGTTGTCTTTAGTGAGTGCTAAAATATTTCAAAGATCTAAACAAAGTCATGGATTTACCAAGAAGAGAAGCCGAAATTAATACCTATTGCCATCAGGATGAAGCTCACACAACTGACTGTCATCACCAATTGCTAGCAAATAGCCTGACGATGTCAAACCCTGCAGATAAAAAAATTGCAGGGAAAAAAAAATTATCTCAACCCCTAGCTACAACATGGAAGGTTGAAAAATATATTCCAAGGAAAAATTTCCAGAAAGTACTAATAAAAAAGTTAACTATGGAACATCTAGTTTGAATTTCAATTATTTAAAAATAATCTGGGCCATATTTTTCTAACTACTATGATTTTATTAAAAAAAAAATTGTAACAGAATGTTGTAAGATTCTAGTTTACACACACAAATAATTTTATCTAGAAAACTGTCTACATACCTGGATGGTGACCACATTTTCCACTATTTCATCCTCATTCTTTTCCTGTATTATAATTCTCTGTCCACTGCATAAGTATATCAAAGAAAACTAATATCACCATAACCGGAGCTCTAATGTTGTGGTTGTAGAATTTATACAAGATGATTCAGCACAGCTAAAAGGGGGCTTTTCTAAGTCAAAAGAAGGAAAAAGAAAAAAGTAACAGATCATGCATGGAAAAAGAAAAGCTAAAACAGAAAGTAAACCACGAAATAAATTCAGCATATTCTGCAGATCACTGTAAGACTCATAAGGAAAGAAATGCACGAGATTTAAGTTGAAGCCACGACTGGATCACTGTAAGACTCATAAGGAAAGAAATGCACGAGATTTAAGTTGAAGCCACTACTGCTCACAGATAAAAGGCAATAAATTTGTGACATTCTTTGACTTCAATAATTATATTCTTTAGTTGATGAAAAGTTTTTTGTATCCAACCAAATGGCTGCTAATAAGATTCTAGGCTGAGTGAAGTTCTTTTTAGCTCCACATCAATGGTAGACAGACGTGTCATATGGCTGAAACTCGGCAACTTTGTGATTGATGGGCGTAGAAAGAAAGAGCAGAAATAGTTGCAAACTTATGGTCATCCATCCCAGCATGTATTTTTGAAGAACTTGTCCCATTTACATATAGCATGAAGTTCATAAGACACTGTCTTTTTGTTTTTATACAAGTATTGTTATTCACAAGCGATACTAAGAGACGGAGATCCTCTTTCCCTTTTACTCTTCACCATTTGCTTGATGTTTTGAGTTAGATGACTTCTCCAGCTATGGAGAGATGTGTCTTGGAGGGTCTTTATGTTGACAATAATAGAATTGAGATTTCACATATACGGTTTGCTGACAATATGATTCTTTCCTATCTAATGATCTGGAGAACTCGGTAATCTTATTACCACTTTACAGAGCTTTGAGGGCGTGTGTGTTAACCTTAGAAAGAGCAGTTTGGCAGAGATTAAAGTGGAGGAGGGAACCCTAGTCCTTCATCAAGAAGAGTACGATCATTTAAGCACAGGATATTTACTAGTTAATTTTTTACCAAGATAGCGTGCATGTAAACCACAGATCAGATAAATCAGATATATCACCTGTGTAGCCATGTTCTATAGTAAAGCTCCTCAAGAGACTTAAATCCTGCATGTTATGAAACTAACCTGGCATTATTCTCCCCCCCATTGCAGAGAAATTATGAAGCAAATAATGAGAACAACAAAATCAATATAACATTCAATCGGTTACAGAGGGACCTCAAAAATGATTGCTAAATTCGGAAACCTGATAGAAGTCAATAGTAATAACAGAAGTTAACAAAACATCAATTCTCTTTTACAAAAGGGGAAGTATTATTAGAAAGAAAAAGGAGAAAAGTTCAGCACAGGAGATAAGAGATTCCCTTAATCAAAGAATAGGAAAGAGGAAAAAAACAAAACAAAACAAAAAAGAACATATTTGCAGTCTTACAGTAGCCCAGTCTCTCTGCAAAAGAGTGAAAGAAACATCTGTAGAGTGCCATGAGCCTTAGCCCAAAGGAAGCCAAGCAAGTTATTCTACTCCAAAAATTAGAGCAGGTAAATACAGGCTGGTCGTGCTGCACAGAGATTGGTCACCCGTCCTTTTGCAAGAATAGTTGGTCACTGTCATTTTTTTTTAATTTTCTTCTCTTCTTCATATTTGATAGGATATTTAATCGCTCCATCTTTTGTAACTTTTCCCTCTTATTAATTATATTTCTTTTTCTCTTAAAAAAAAGGTGAATTGAAATTCATAAAGAAATCCAACAAAGAAAATGGCATATCGATCTTCGGAACAACCTGGCTAACAAAGGAAAATAAGATACAGATCTAGAACATTAATTCACCTTGATGTATGAAAAGATTATAAAACCTCTCAAATTTGTTAAAGAAGGCTGCTGCAATATCTTCTTTTTTAAGTTGCACTGAGGAACTAACCAAGTCTCTTAGTACTGCATTCAAGCATGTCGTTGGTTCATCATTATCAATATTCAAACCTATACCTGCAAGAATATGGGTGTATTATTATCTTTATCCCGAACATATATACCAGGATTAGTTCTCATAAATGTAAATCTTTTTGTACATGGGTTGCACCCCTTGGTGCATTGTTAATACTATTCATACATTTTATTCTAAACGAAAAAGGATTAGTTCTCTTAAATAAAGCAGTAACAATGTCAATTTCCCTTTATAAAAAACAATTCTATGTTCAAAAGAGCAGTAGCCCTTCAATCACTGAAATGAAATAGAGCCAATTAAAAGTCCAGAAGCATGAAAAATCAACAAATAGCTTTTATCACAGGATCAATGAATTTACCAACACTGATATTGAACTTATTTGCTTTATATGTAGAGGTGCTTAGAATGCCTCCAACTTTAAGACCATTTAGGTAGAGATCATTTGGCCACTTTATTTTAACATCAAGGAATGGTAAACCCTGAAATAGATAACATGATCATATAATTATCAGATAGTGGAATGACGGTGGCAGATAATTTGCAATCAAGCAATTAAATAGTGCCAATGCCTAGGTATCCTAAAACCTCTTTTTTTTCTTGTTACAAATTCTTGGATACTTTTATTTCCTAATTAAGCCTAAGTAGAAACCTAAACCTATATAAATCTAAGTAGCAACTTTTCTTCTTCTTCTTGTGGGTCCCATGGACATAGCTAAAGCTGTAGCCTCCTAATTTGACCATAACAAAGTAACCATTTTCATGTGAAAAATTTCATCCTCCAATATAGCACATAATACCTATGACAATAATAAGCAAACCCCTAAACCTACATATACTTTTTGGAAGGTTAAATTTAATTTAATTGTTCAACTAATTATCTCTCCTAACAATTTCCATCATTCACATTGACTTTGATTTTAATTGGATAAGAAAAATTATAATTTAAAGGCATTGTTTGTGCAAGCATTAGGCATTTGCTACACAAAGAAGGGTGTTATCACCAACTTCTATGCACAAAGAAAAATGCAGTGACACAGAAAAAAAAGAAACCTACATTTATGTTACAGACATCCTTAATTGCCTCTGTAACAGCCAGAGAGACTACATATTGTAGCAGAGGCACAATCCTTCCCTCCTCCATTTGTACAGTAAAAGAAAACATGAGGCAACCCTTAGGAGATTCCCATGCATTCTTTGATCGACCTGCATATTCAGACATAATATGCAATACTGATGCTAGGCAAGCAATAACGGACCACATTTCCTTCTATTAGAAGGTTTTCAAAGCATTTTATACTTCATACCTCTCCCTTTGAACTGAGAATCTGCAACACAAACTGCACCAACTGGAAGCTCGCAAAAGTTGCTGTTTAAAACTAAAACCAGCTTTACAATCTAAAAAAAATCAACACTTCAAATCATTTTTAAAATGAAATGATGTCTTGCTTACTGAGAAACAGCATCATGTGTTGAAGTCAACCGCGGAGACCAAATGAGAAACCGACCAAATTGTTCAGTTGAAAGAGAGTTAATGAACAATTTGGCATTGAAAGAATCCTGTTTCACTGGCATAACCATCTCCGATTGTAATAGAACTGAAACTTCGTGGCCATCAGGGAGTTTAATGATGCTATTTTCCTTCAATGATTTTGCTATTTCAGTTTCAGTAGATGACTTTCCGCATAGAACCAGTGTACAAGGTGAGTTGGTCTCCATTGCTAATACCAGCAAAAAAGAAAACGAACATGAACAATATATGTAGAAAAACACACACATATACGTTTAGAGAATAAAGGACACCAAGGATGATGAACACACATAGAAATATTTCACCATTTCGCTTTTCAACCACTTGGTTTTGCAATATAGAAACACACACATAAATGTCTACAGAAAAAACAAAATTCAATCCCTAAACTTACAGTGACAATCAGCATGAATTGACAAAAAACGTCAACTAAGATCTAATTGGAATGACATTCCCACTTCTATGAAAACAAGACCACGATCATCTAAGCTTCCATTTCCTTACATTGCTTTCCAGATTTTATTTTCTGAGTCTGAAATTTGTTGCGAGCAGACAAGGAAGCAATATGCACAGACAACATGAATGAGAGAGAGCATATGCACACACATAATGAGAGAGAAGCAATCATACCTATGGATGCAGCTGATAAGGACACAGAGGATAATCTTTTTTTAAAATAAAAAAAATATAGAGAGGAAGGGAGAAAGAATTTTGAAGGGAGATAAGGTGCAGGCAACTCGTAATGGGATATATGCTGTACTTCCTTTCAAGGCTTGAAGTTCATGAAAAACTGCATTTGCATGCAGAGAAAACGATGTGAAACTGTTACCGTACAAACTTAACAGTCGTAGCTATAGGGACTTTTTTATGAAATAAAAGTAGTAACGATAGGGATTTCCAGGTAAAAGCTTGATTTTTTTTTCCTGATGTAAATGCAAAGGAAAATAAAAGTGACTTTAAGAGTACATAATTCTGGAACTATGGAATAACGGATCAGAATAAGACCAGCCCAAACCCAATGTCTAAATTGCAGTTTTTTCTATTATTAAATCTCAAACGAGTATGCTAATCGAAAACATCACCCTAGTTCAAAGAATCATCGCAAATTCTATCTCTATCACTGGATCAAACATATATCAAACAGCAACTAGGTGACGCAAGTTCAACATCAACAAGTATCTTTCTCATGTCAGCAGCTTAACAGATTACAAAGCCAGTCTTGTTATGCCAATTTCATCCACATATGATTACCAACACTCAAATAAGTTGAATCTGAAAAATTAAAAAAAAATGAATATCAAAAGAAACCAAAATCATGAACAAAAGACGTTCAAAGACACCAAGAGTCATGACCCAGGCACTCCTAATGCAGGCCAGTGAAACAAATCTGATTAACAAACAAAATCTCAAATTAAACCGTTGACAATCAAGTATAACATATAAAGCCAATTGATACTGAAACCAAAAGATGCAAATGAAAAGGGAAGAAAGAGAGAGATGACTTACCGAACGTCCCTCCAAATGAGAGGAGCAGCTGGTGAGAGCCAATCGTAAGGGGTGGTTGCTTCAGAAGATGACAAAGGGCAGCAACTCGTGCAGATTGAGACCTGGCGTAGAGGCTCGTGGTGATCAGTGGTGCAACTTAGTTGCAAGGGAACAGTACTTGGAGATCCAACAGTGTTGCATAGAGAGCTATAATGGCTAGAACAAAAAAAAGGGAGAGAATCTTTCACTTAAGCTACTAAAAAAAAAGATGCATATATCACTACACTTTGCCTGTCCTCACTTTCTAAGGAAATTTGGTGTGCACGTGTATTTTCGCCCTCCAACTGTTTGCTATATGGCCTTTCTAAACAAGTTTGGTATGCACGTTTATTTTTGCCCTCCAACGGTTTGCTTTATGGCCTCTAACAGCTTTATGGCTTTCAAGTGCTTTCTTATATGTTGATTCGGGAACCGGAATTGAATCAGCAGTGTTGGTGGGGGTTTCGATTGAGTTGGTTCTTCACTTGAGATTTCCAGAAGAAGAGCGGGTTTTTGTAAGACCGGCGCCGGCAACTCTAACTTATGTGTGTGCATAGTGGTGGCCGGCGGGGGGAGATTGTGGAAGAGGAAGATATGTGAAGCAATTGTGTCTAGTCAAGAGGGATATACTCCCATATTTCCATAGAAATGTGTATGGCATAGAAATAGGACAGTATTTTCATATTCGAAGAAACAAGATCATGATCATCAACTATAATTTTCCAATTCCCTACACCGTTTCCAAACTTTGTTTTCGGAGTCTAAATAGCTCGAGAGAACTACAATCAATTCAAACCTATTGTGTGCATGCATGGAAGAAAGTGCAAAAATGAGAAGAATGTTAGAGAAGCGATGAAATCCGAACCTGTTGTTGCAGCTGAGAGAGGCAGAGAATGGAGTCGTTTTAGGTAGAAAGCGAAAGGAGAAAGAAATTTGTGGAGAAACAAAGCGCAGGCAAGTCGTCAGTAGCATAAACGGTCGGGCTCTGCGGTTGTTGGCTTGAAGCTCACGAGGAAAATCATTTCAGCGCGAAGAATACGATGCCAATACTTTACTTTGCAGACTTAACAGTAGGAGCAGGAGACTAGGCTTGGGAGCGTCATTATTATTGGAAAAAAAAATACACCTAGTTCTTATCTAATTACTTTTAGAAAACATTAAAATTAAAGTTTAACTTACTCATCATCTACATTAACTAAAACTAGCGATAGAAAATATTAACCAACAATAATTTTAATGGGTGCAGTGGCAGTAATAATTTAAATTAACAGTTTAAATTAATAACATATAGTTCAGATGGTATATTATTTTTATGTACATTTTGATGATTTAAGTTTGAGTTCTAGTCTCTAATTTTTTTAAAAAAAGGTTTACAAGTCTAATATTTTAAAATTGTTATATGTGTAATTTGTTTGTGAGGTAATTTTAAATTATTATTATATTATTTAAGGATATAGAGATTTTTATCAAGTAAGCTCTTATAAAATGTCTTACAACTTTTTTTTCTAAATTTTTCAAATAATTTTTGTTAAATACTTCTTAAAATAAATAATTATTATATGTTTATGTTATATTAACTATTATACGTGTAAAAATATTATATTATTTATCACATGTACGCAATTTAATAAAGAATTACTATAAAATTATTTTATGTAGCATTATACACTATATAAGTAAAAGATACTAAATTTTTTATCATTGATATCACATTCACTAAATTTAAAATGTATTTAACGATTTTTATTATTTTATCAATTTGGACGTCAATTTAATAAATTCAAAAGTTATCAGAGTTTAACTAAATAAATCAATAATATACAACTCAAATTATATAATAATTTTATTATAAAATTTTTGCAAATCATTTGAATTTAAGTTTGATCATGTAGCTTATGAGTTTAAAAAAACAAATCAATAAATAAACAATAATAATATCAAGATATTGAGTATTTTGCTTATCATTATCACACTTCATTTCTTTTATTAATCCAAATGTCAATTTAGTAAATTTTTTATAAAAAAAAAATGAATCTGACATAACAAACTAAAAAGACATAATGCTTCTATGGAAGATATCAATTCGAATTAAGTTTCATCTTCTACCTTCTAAGTTTGAAAAATATTGAATGAATAATAATGTTATGTAATAAATATTTGAATATTTTCAAATTGCATTGAAATACTTGAGTATTTTGCTTTATTATTATAGTACATATTAATTATTATACAACTCTATAACGTATAAATTTATATAATAAATTTGTAGCAGTAATTTTTTTTAATTAAATTTAGTTTTTTTATAAGCAGTAAAATATCATATGTTTAATAAAAATATATTCTTAAAATTAATTTTATTTGTATACATAATTTATAATGTCAAAATACCCTATAAATCATTGTAATATCTAATTTTTTTTCCATCTAAACTCTAGTACTTTTTTTTTTATATTTTAACTATACACTTTTAAATTTTTACAGTACCAATAATCAATTTTAATTGTTGTTTGGAAGCAATTTAAATATGATCCGTAACATATTAAAAATATAATATACATATAAGTAATGATGTAGCGTATGATATGGTAGTCATGTTAAATTATAATATTTAAAATATTATATATATATATCCCCAAAATTATAATTCTTTCTATATTTTTCACTATTCCTTTGAATAGGAAAATAACTTTATATCTTTCCCACTGGGTATATGATCTTTAGTTCCTTCTATATCCCCCCACTTTTGAAGCCATACATTTCCCTCAACAACACCATCCTTGACACAATCATAAACAAATGTGTGAAAATGGAGTGCCAACAGCCATTGCACATTACTCAACGTGTAAACATTAGTAAAGAACAAGTTCGTGTATGCATGAAACGAATTGACGTTATTACACTACATGATTTAATTGAGTTTGCTTGAGAATAAGATGGTGAGGATCAACAGGATGGGCATTGGACAAACTTGGAGGATTCAAGATTTTAACGAAATATCGAATCACTATATTTAGGTTTGAGGAGGATGCGGCTTGATGAAGGAAAATGTATTATTAGTGAGGTCAAAACGAAGATTAAATCATATGATA